TCTCTCTCTCTCTCTCTCTCTCTCTCTCTTCGAGGCGCAAACCATTTAATCTTTTTATTTGAAATAAAATCTTTACTTCACTTCCACTATACTACCGGTTGTCATTATTCCTGAAAGGATACTCAATGATTTGCTAACTTTTTATTGCTATACACAGAAATTTTGTTTTTCCGCTACCGATGAACACCGATATGATGAAACTGTTAGTTCACTTTATGCAGATGCCAAATTCAGGTTAGTTCTTTGGCTAGCTAGCAATATTGTTGAGAATACACTTTTGACAATAGGTATCAACCGACATATTATAATGACCATTTCCTCATTCTAACAGGGTCACTGGTTCGTTGGCAAATTCCTGCGAGTTCGCCAATGCATTCAAGTGCAGAATCAACAGCCCAATGAATCCAATCAACAAATGCTATCTGTGGAGTAAAGAAGGACCATTGGACTAAGAGCATGGTCATGTTAAAAATAACAAATGCTAACTGCTATAACAACCAACGTGCTAACTGTGTTAAGGTTACATTGTAATTTGCCATTTCAGTCAGTACCTGCATGTTAAAAGGACCTGTCAACGACAAGACTCTTGTCAAATCCTAGTATAAGATCATCATTTCAAGTATTTGACAAACCTCGTATAAACAAGTCTGTAACCAACATGTTTACCACGCTTTAGGCTTTAATTTGCCCTTTCAATGTTATTCTGATAGTTGTAGTGAGTAAAACGAATAATACTACCTACTTGAAAAGTAAAATGGTGATGTATTTATAATCTTTCCAGTCGTTATAAGGAAGTGAGGTTTACAAAAATGTAATTGATTTTTCGCCGAGTAGTAAAGTAACAAGTAAAACAAAAATATCATCTTTACCGTTATTGTAAGTCATTTACTTTATATTTTTTTAGTGAGTTTTATCCCTTCATCATCTTAGGAGAAGTAATAAGATTTGATGTGTTTTAATTTCTAACAATAAGGGTTTTTCTTTTTTTCTCCTTTCTTTTTTTTTTTTTTTTTTTTTTTTTTTTTTTTTTTTTTTTTTTTTATATATGAAAGAAAAGCGAGAGAAAAGGAATTCCAAAACGTCGATTTTTATCTGAAGAAATTTTGGTAACATTTTTTTGTGTGCGAGATATTCGAAACATTTGAAACTACTCCCCCTGGACGGAAACCCCATCCACAATAATCCACAAACACTTTTTCCTAATTTGAATAGCAAACACTTGCGAATCAAAGTCTATCTTATTATCCAAACTTAATGATTGTTCCCCTTCTTAACGTCTTTTCTAAAGAAAGAGAGGGGGAAACATAAATTACCTAACTACGATTTGGATGGGGTTCCCAATCAGGAGGAAGCAGACCTCATACGCGTGGAAACAGGTCGTCCGAAGGCACCCCAGAAAATAGGGTAGCCAAAAGGAATCTACTTACCCTAAAAGAGATATTAATGCTAATAAGAAAGACGATACCCACGATCAAACAAAATCATTTATCACTACATTAATCACATACAAAATTAAAACTAGATCAACTGAATAAGCAATTGCATGGCATTGAATCCACATCTTTCAAATAGAAGAGTTAGATGAAACCTTCCTTCCTTTCTTAGCTAGTCGTTGCCATTCTCGGCTCGTGCATTCCGTCTGGCTACGGGACAATGACACTTGTAATGCCCCTCTACCGGTCAGTTTTACCACGCCGATTATTTAATGCATTTCATTAAACGCTCAACAAACGACAGAACTTTAATACGTTTCCTTGAAACGCTCAACAAACCACAGAGCTCTTATATATTTTACACTTCATTGAAACGC